TTTGGGGGTGTGGCAGTTGTGCTTGTTTCAGATGAAGAATTCTACAAAATCCATGTTTGCCTGCTCAGATGGATGTAAAACATGGTGAGTTACTTCAAAGAAAAACAGGAAATTCACTGCAATATCCTGGCCAATACCTTTAGAGTCATACATGGTGGCTCAGTGGTTAGCACTGCTGCCTCACAGCACCAGGTGCCTGGATTCGATTCCCCCTTGGGCGACTGTCTGTGTGAAGTTTGCACATTCTCCCTGTGTCTGCATGGGATTCCTCCCGCGGTCCAAAGATGCGCAGGCTGGGTGGATTGGCCGTGCTAAATTACCCATAGTGTTCGGGGATGCGTAGATTAGGTGGGTTATAGGGGGATGGATCTGTGTGGGATGATCCGAGGGCCAGTGTGGACTTGTTGGGCTGAAGGGCCTTTTCGCACACTGTAGACGTTCTATGGGTTCTGTGGATATAATCGTACAGCTTAGAAGTAGACCTTCAGAAACAGACTGGTCCAACCAGTCTATGCCGACCATAATCCCAAACTAAAATAGTCCCAACAGCCTGCTCCTGGCCCATATCTCTCCAAACCATTCCTATTCATGTACTTATACAAATGTTTTCAAACATTGTAATTGTACCCACATCCACCACTTCCTCAGGAAATTCATTCATCACGTGAAAAACCCTCTGTGTGTTTAAAAAAAACATGCCTCTCATTCTTTTCTAAATCTCTCTCCTCTCACCTTAAAAATGTGCCCCCTGGTCTTGAAATCCCTTCAACCTCCTGCGCTCCAGTGAAAAACGTCCCAGCCCACCTCTATAATTCAAATCTTCCATACCCAGCAACGTCCTGGTAATTGTCTTCTAAATCCTCTCCAGCTTAATAATATGCTTCCTATAACTGGGTGACCCAGAAGTGGACAGAGTATTCAAGGAAAGGCCTCACCAACGACCTGTACAACCTGAACATGCCATCCCAACTCCTATATTCAAAGGACTGTGCAATGAAGGCAAATGTACTAAATGCCTTTTTAACCACCCTATCTTATATGTGGCTCAAACTTCAAAGAATGATGCACCTGAACCCCTAGATCCCACTGTTCTACAACACCACCCAAGGTCCACCATTAATTGTATAAGTCCTACCTTTGTCCATTGTACCAAAATGCAATTATTTTATCGCATTTATCCAGATTGAACTCTATCTGCCATTTTTCAGCCCGTTGACCCATTTGATCAAGACCCTTTTGTAATCTTAGAAAACCTTCTTCACTGTCTGCTGTGCCACCAGTTTTGGTGTCATCCACAAACTCACCATACCGTCTATGTTCTCATCCATATCATTTATATAAAATAACAAACAAAAGAGGACGCTGAACTGATCCCTGCGGGACATCGCTGGTGACAGGCCTCTAGTCCAAAAAGCATCCCTCCCCTAAAACTCTGTCTCCTGCTGTTAAGCCAATTATGTATCCAATTGGCAAGCTCACCCTGAATACCATGTGACCATATTACTGAAACTAATTCGCTGATTATTATTTTTATAGGATTTTGTTGTACTAAAGCTGACTGCTGCATTTTCTGTATTGTAATGGGGACCGTGGTTCAAAAGTTGTCCATAGGCTGTGGAGCACTTTGGAATGATCTATGGTGTGGAAAGATTATTACATAACTACAACCGGTGTCATCCCACTTAGCCAGATGTCTTGCTTCATCTAACAGTGGTTTGAGTTTTTCAGTAATTTGAAATTACTCCAAATCTACCCCATTCCCTCTGTGTGACAGTGATTACACTAAACTGTGAAAAGTCCCACTTTATCTGATCTTCTTTAAATCTCAGTAGGGGGTAGTTGGCTTTGTGTTAGTAGCTTTCTTATGCTATAAGATTCAGCACAACAGGAAAGAATGGCCAGCTCAAGCACTTGCAAAGGCTGTGGTACAGATCTTCCATGAGCTTTCCTGTCCACTGGAAAGTGAAATTAAATAAAGCAGAAACAGTATAGTTAAAATACTGTAATTATTTGAAGTTATGCTTAGCAGCGAGTCGAGTGGCTGAAAAGTCCCAACTCCATAAACAGAAGTCACGTGTTTGAATGCAGTAACATTTGTCACATTTTAAACACATTTTTGACCAACTCACCCAGTGTGTTTCCTGTGTGTGGGAGTGCAATCAGCATGAGTTGAAGGTTTCATTGCTGAAAGACACCAATCACATCAGTTACAACTTGACTCAATACTTGAACAAAGTTCCTATCTTGGTATATTGGCAGCACATTTTATAGAAGTAGAACTAACTGTCTCTCAAAATAGTGGCAAATATCTTTTAGGACAGCACTGTAATGATTGAGTTGGTAATTTTACTGTCTAATTTCCCACTTGTAAAGGTGTAACAGTTCTATCTGTTGATCTGGATCCTGGACAGTAATAGTTACTAAACACATTTCTGCAAAGATTTGACTTTTAGAAATGTTATGTTACATGGTGCGCTAGTGCACTATTGTGTTCTGCCTTTCTGTGCAGCACAGGAATTTGTCCCCACATACTTGCTCATTGAGTTTTAAATGTATGTGGCACAGGGCATTGTTGTAAACTATGTAGTAAAAAAGCAAAATACTGTCATTGCTGGAAACTGCAGTTGTTATATTGTCTTTGTCTTGTCATTTAAGCCTCAGATCTATGCTGCCTAGTTCTGTGTTTGATCTTGGGGTATTGGGGTGGAAGAGCCCATATTCTCAATATATGTATATGAAATGAAAACAGAACCAATATTTCATCCTGACTGATAAACTGATTGAACATTTAATGTGTTTTGTGTAGCAAGGTCTTTACTTAACAGTAGCAAAACAATTTAATTTGATGAATGAGAGTTGGAGGACATTTATGCCGAAATGTTTTCTGCTGCTTTTGTGTTTCTTACAACTTTAGAGCACCTATGCCTTTTGTGGCCTGAAAGTTGTATGTTACTAATATTAAACAAAATCTGGAAATAACAATGAGACAGTCTGTGAAGGGTTACAGGTAGGTCAAGTTGATGGACAAAAACTTGGCAGATGAATTATACTGTGGGAACATGTGAACTTAACCATTTGGACAGAAGCAACAGAAAAGTGTACACTATTTAAATTAAGAAAGATTACAGAACCCTAAAGTGTGGAGTGAATTGCAAAGAGTTAATGTGTGGGTACAGCAAGTGATTAGGAAGGCAAATGGAATGTTGTTGTTGGTTGCGAGGTGACTGGAATTCAAAAATAGGGAAATTTTACTGCAGCTATACAGGGTTAGTAGTTAGACCACATCTAGAATCCAGTGTACATATACAGTATGGGCTTGGCAGGACTATCTTATGAGGAGAGATTGGTTTGACTGGGCCTGAATTCATTAGAGTTTAGAAGGATGAGAAGGATCTGATTGAAATGGATAAAATTCTAACAGGGCTGGACAGATTAGGTGTAGGAAGGATATTTCCCCTGGTTGGGGAGTCTTGAATTAGGAGTCTCAGTCTCAGGCTACAGAATAAACCATTTAGGAAAGGTTTCTTCACTGAGGGTAGTGAACCTGTGGAATTCTTTATTACAGAAGGCTATGGAGGCCAAGACACTGAATGTAGTGTAGAAACAAGTCAGGTATATTTTAGATTTTAGAAGCATCCAGGGGTATATGGACAACGTTGGAAAATGGCTTTGAGATAGAGAATCAATCATAATCATATTGGATGACAGCGCAGGCTCAAAGGGTCAGTGGCCTAGTTCTGCTCATAGTTTCTACAATTTTGGTGGTCTTATTTGAATCAGTATATGATTGCATTAGAAGCAATTCAGAGAAGGTTCACTCATTCCTGGAATGGAACATGTATCTCAGGAAAATTGCTTAAATGAAGAAAAACTGCTGAAGGCTGCAACGTAAACGGACTTTGATAGTTGTGCATGGAACACAGAAAGATAGCACGCAGGTAATCAGAAAGGCTAATGGAATGTTGGCCCTTATTTCAAGGGGGTTGGGGTATAAGAGTAGAGAAGTCTTACTACAACCGTACAACATTCTGGAAAGATTATATCTGGAGTACTGTGAGCAGTTTTGATCCCCTTATTTATGAAAAGTTTTTATTTCAATGGAGGCAGTTCAGAGAAGGTTCACTAAGATGATCCTTGGTATGGGCGGATTGTCTTATGAACAAAAGCTAAACAGGTTCTGACTCATTGGAATTTAGAAGAATGAGAGATGATCTCATTGAGACATGTAGGATTCTCAAGGGTCTTGTCAGTGTAAATGCCGAGCGGATATTTCCTTTCATGGTGCAGTCTAGGACCAGAGGGCATAATCTCAGAATGAAGGAGGGCCAATTTAAGATTGAGATGAGGAGTTCCTTCTCTTAGGATCGAGTCTTTCAAGCTCATTGCCACAGACAGCAGCGGGGCAGATTTCCATTGCACATTTAAGGCTGAGAAAGATAGATTCTTGATCAGGGTTACGGGGAAAGGACAAGAAAGTGGGCGTGAGTAGTGTCGGATGAACACAGCAGGCCAAGCAGCATCATAGGAGCAGATGCTGCTTGGCCTGCTGTGTTCATCCAGCCCTGCACCTTGTTGTCTCGGATTCTCCAGCATCTGCAGTTCCTACTATCTCTGTGAGTAGTGTCGGTTCAGCTGTGAACCTATTGAATGGTGAAACAGACTTGAGAGCTGAATAGCCTACTCCTGTTCCTATTTCTAATGGTCTTATGGTCAATTGTCAGCAAACATCTCTTCTTGAGACCTTATGATGAAGGGAAGGTCATTGATGAAGCAACTAAAGATGGTTGGGCCTAGGACACTTCCAAGAATATTTTAACTAAAATAGTTGAAAACTTGCATCTCCAATGTTGAATTTGAAAATTAAGTAATTTAATCAGGTTCTCCTTGATAGTGCAATTATTTTAGTGCATTTAAAGCACTGTATGAATGAAAGTAGTTGCGAATATGCTATGAATTTGCATGATTTTCTTTTTCTTCTCCCACCCCCACCCTCCTTCCAGAGTTTTATCAGGCTCATTTGCCAACCCTTTTCAGACCTGGACAGATCGAAGTCCCAGTTTGACATAGTAAGTCTGCTAGACAGCATTTTGTTGTGTAACCTTTGTCTTTATAATGGAATCTGTGAAATTTGTTTTATGCGCCACAACGTGATTATGGACATCTAATTACTGGAACAAGTGATTGATGAGGGTATCGCTTCCTATAAATTTTTGCATTTAATTTGCGTAGCTTGATTTTCTGCCCAATGCTGCAGTATTGCATCAAACGCCTGTGCTACAGCTAAAATGTGATTTTGCTAAGTGCTAATAAATCACTTGCTCTTGTCATTGCATCTCCTTGGGTGTAGATGGCAGCCCTGACTTCAATAGATCTTCCAGCTTACATGACTTAAAAAGCAGAATCAACTAATTTTCCATTTATATTGCAGAAATTATTTGTACTCAAAGTAGCTCTATAACACATATTTCCTCGGGTATTCTGATTATTTAGAGTTTTAGCACATTTGCGACAAGCGTAAAAATTAGGGGAAGGTGATAGAATCTCTACAGTGTGGAATCAGGCCATTCGGCCCGACAAGTCCACGCCCACACAAACAAAAACAAAGTTGCTGGAAAAGCTCAGCAGGTTTGGTAGCATCTGTGAAGAAAAAAAAATCAGAGTTAATGTTTCGGGTCCCGAGAGCCTTCCTCAGAACTCAGACTAACTCTCTGAAAAGCAACCCACCCAGATTCACTCCCCTACCCTGTCCCTGTAACCCTGCTTTTCCCATGGCTAATCCACCTAATTTACACATTCCTGGACACAATGGACAAGTTAACATGGCCAATCCACCTAACCCGCACATCTTTGGACTATGGGTGGAAGCCAGAGGACCTTGAGGAAACCCAGACAGACACAGGGAAAATGTGCAAACTCCACACAGACAGTTGTCCAGATCCCTGACGCTGTGAGGCAGCAATACTAACAACTGAGCCACCATGCCGCCCACGTCCTATTAATCCAGCGACTCGGGTAATGTTCTAGGCACCCGGGCTCAAATCCCACCACGGCAGATGGTGGAAGTTGAATTCAATAAAAATCTGGACTTGGGAGTCTAATGATGACTGTGAATCCACTGTTGATTGTCAGGGAAAAACCCACCTGGTTTACTTTAGGGAAGGAATTTGCCATCCTTACCTGGTCTGGCCTACATGTGACTCCATATTGATTTGTAACTGCCCTCTGGGCACTTAGGAATGGGCAATAAGTGCTGGCCTAGCCAGCGACGCCCTCATCCTGTGAATTAATAAATTTTAAAAAAGACCTGCTTTAGGGTTCTTGTGACACAGTGGTAGTGCCCCCGCCTCAGCCTCTGGGCCTCAAGTCCTACCTACTCCAGAAGTGTATCATAACATCTCTGAATAGATTGATTGGGACAAAAAAGACACCAGCAGTATCTCATTACAGCACTAAAAAGATGTGCTGTTGATTTTCATGTGTCTGATCATCCTATTCCATTGCCTAGAGGAGAGAAGTTAGCAGGGCCACTTGAGTCCTGTGTAAATGTCTGAGACCACAGTCTGACAAAGCGTTAACCCATTTGTAACATTGGCTATGCGACTGCTAGGGCAGCAGTCCCTTTTTTTTCATTCTTTCATGGAATGCGGGTGTTTCTGGCAAGACTAGTATTTGTTGCCTTTCTAACTACCCTTGAACAGAATGACTTGCCATTTCAGCGGGGAGTTAAGAGTCAATCACATTGCTGACCACATTGAGAATCTGGAGTCTTCTGTTAGTCAGACCAGATGAGGATACCAGATTTCTTTCCTTAAAAATTGGTTTATCAACAATCGGGTTTTTAATGGTAGTCGATGATAGTGTCACTAATGGTTCCATGAAACAAGCTTTCAATTCCAGATTTATGAATTGAATTGAAGTGCCACTAGTTGCCCTGGTGGCATTTGCACTGACTTATCCCAGCGTATTAGTGGCAGCATATGGATTATTAGCCCAGTGCTATTACCACTTTGCTTGCCACAATTTGTTATCGTGTTGTTGCCTAAGTCTGCTGTTTGTGAGACAGTAATTTAAAACTGGCATTAAAAATACAATGGCATCTTTTATAAAGGTTGCATATTCATAATTCTGAATAGTGTCATTGGACAAATAACATTATCGGTGGTACACGTTTTTGTGCACATGAAGGATTATAGTATTTAAAGAGAATTGCACTGAATTCAGTAAAATTATAGTCATTTGATAGACTATCCTTTTCTTGCCTCCTGATTCCTGTGTATTAATCAGTGCTGCTATGGTTAATGATCTTAAATTTTGTCAAAGGTGCCAATGCAACATCTTCTGTAATTTTTTTTATTCATTTGTGGGATGTGGACGTTGCTGGCTGGGCCAGCATTTATTGCCCGTCCCAGTTTCAGTCTTCCCTTCCTAAAACATTGGCATCAGTGTTCCTGGTTTTGCTCCTACACTTTAATTCGTTCAGCTTTGATCAAGCAATGCACTTTGGCCCATGGAGTATTGTAGTGTTGGAGGCAACCTGTGTGTTAGGATGTCAAGAGTCAAAGAAAATCTAGGTATTATTTAGTCTACATGCACGATGCATGAAGACTGAGGAATGTGCAGTACTTTTATTGTGAATTAGTTTAAGTAATTTTAAGTTTGCAAATGGAAGGAATTTTTCCTGGGTTTTATACTTTTTACAATTACCGGGTCAAACTGGATTTGATTAGCTGACACTTTCAGCTATTATTGTGCATTATGTCTCTTGTATGATGTTTAAGTTGAGACAGTGGCAAGCAGTTTGATGTATGAACCTCCAAATACTATCTTCAGTCCTAATTTGCCATCATAGGTTCAATTGAAGTGTCTCACCTGACTCCTTAACTTCCTTTAACCCTTTTCAAAATGGACTGACCGCCTGTGCACTTCCAACATTTTCAATTTTTACACTATTTCTCATTGCTTGCTTGGGTTTTTGTTTTGAATTGTACGCAAATTTCTCAATGGTTTACACTTGCTGCTCTTCTTCTGTCCAGGTTAGTGCTTTAGTATCAAAAACAGAAGTTGCTAAAAATTTTCAGCAGGTCTGGCAGCATCTGTGAAGAAAAAATCAGAGTTAATGTTTCTGGTCCGGTGACCGGTTCGGAGGAACCTGCTGAACATTTCCAGCCACTTCTGTTTTTGTTCCTGATTTACAGCATATGAAGTTGGTTCAGTTTTTTTTTGGTGCTTTAGTTTGTGCATTTATGATGATGTATGTTTTGTATTGAAATGTCTGTCATGTAACTGATGCTTAAGGAAAACACTTATGTAGGCCAGTATCATGTAAGCAGCTATATGATGAACAGCTGATTAACCTATTAGTGTTTGAGGGAGAAGTTATTGGCCAGGGACCAAGAAAACTGCCTAGTATTCAAAATAAAAGATCTTTAACAGCCACCAAAACAGGTAACAATGTCTCAGTTTAATATTTCTCTCAATAGATGGCACCTCCAGTAGTGAAGCACTCTTTCTGTTGCAGTGTCAACCTAGATCATTCACACCTGTCCTGCTCACACATAGGATTCTAGCACAGAAGCAAGCCGTTCAGCCTAACTGATCACTACTGGTGTTTACACCACAATGCTTTCTTTCATTCCACTTTATTTATCACGATTAGCTCAACCTTCTGTTCCTTTCTTCCTTATGTGTTTACCCAGCTCCCCTTTAAATGCATCTTTGCTATTTGCCTCACCCATCCTGTGTGGTGGCAAGTTCCATATTCTATGAACACACAAACGAGAGTAGGCCACTCAGCTCCTACTCCACCCGTTCAATAAAGTCATGGCTGATCTGATTTAACCTCAATTCTGCATTCTTGTATGTACTGCATTTTGAGGGTGGGAACTCGAAAGACACTCAGCTCTCTGAGAGAAAAAAAATTTTCCTCATTGCTATCTTAAATGCCTGCTCCCTTATTTTTAAACGATGATCCTTAGTGCTTGATTCTTCTACGAGAGAACAGCCTTTTTTACATCCACCCAGTCAAGTCCCCTCAGGATCTTGTATGGTTCAATTAAGTTGCCTCTGACTCTTCTAAATTCCAAAGGATTACAGGCCTAGCCTTTCTAGCCTTGCCTCAAAAGGCAATCCATTCGTTCCAGGTAAACCTTTTCTGAACTGCTTCCAACACATTAACATCCAAAATATTCCAACTGCACTCGGTACAGAAACGTTTCTTCTGAATTCCCTAACAAATCTGTATGTGCAGTCTACTTAGATCAGCTCTCTACTGACTGTAAGCTTTGCTAATGAACATTGTGGAGTCTTCTTTATTTTTCTTTCATCCCATCAGAAGTAACTTTATGATATAGCTGAATTAGTTTCTCCCCTTGCTTCAAGGCAATTTTGAAATTAAGAATGGAACTAATTGTCTCTTATTTTAAAAAACTCTGCCATTTTTTAGCTGATACTGCTGAGTGACCTCAAGTTCCTGCACATTTGTGGTTATTTCTAAGGGTTGAAGGCAGCATATGGGGAAGTATTAAAAATGTAAACCAGGTTTGAAAATTAAGGAAGGACGTTGTTGTAAAATTAATGCAAAGTTTGATTGCTGGAAAGATGTGTGAATTGATTACGTTGGATATGGATTTCATGTTATTCTTCTTCCCCAACACCATGGTTGATTTATGTGTGCTCATCATCCGAGTTCAGCGTGATGCAAAGAGTAATTGACCCTTATGCAGCTACATACTGACATTTCCCATAGAGAGAAAACATAACTTAGAAGCCATAAACTGCACTTGGGAAACCCTTTGTTTGAGTTTGCCAAAGAAAATCAGGCCTCTTGTTGGTATCCAGCCACAGGTGGAATGTACTAAAACTCATAACCTATCTAACTGACCACTATTGATCCTTGTACTCAGTCAAATATACTTGTGCACTTTGGGATAAAACAAAAGCAATTGGACTCGAGAACTCTAGTTTCTTTGTCCACCCTCTCTGTGCTTTCTTACAACAAGCCAGCTGTGTGGTGGTTAATTGTAGCATCAGACTTATTAGATGGGTTAACATTGCACAGTGTTAGAGATTAACCCTGTGATGTTTTGCTCTGTATTGCTAAACCAAACATTGGATAAGCTTGATGTGTCACCAAGGAATCTTAAGAGACTGCTTTTCCTTTAACCATGTGGTATAATTATTCAAAGAAGTTTTCTATACAGGATTTGGGCTGTTCTGCTGAATAAAGACCTGGAGGTGTCTTAATTTGTTAGAAGGTGCATTTTTTAAAAAGGTATGCCTAAATCTCATTGATGTGAACACCTGTCTGGCAGTCAGCTGGATTTTTGTCACAGACGTGGTTGTGTGATTTACAAAAACAGGTTGAGAATGTGACGTTAAAAGAGCAGGATGTTGGCGAACCATAAAAGATTGCAGTTTATGCAGTTAGTGCAGAACTTTAGATGTGTGGGCACTTCACCATCTGTTTCTCTTGTTAGTGAGACAGCTTCTCTGCTCACATCATAGTACCAAAACATTGACATTTTCCTGTTTTTATGTTACATCTACATTGCGATTAGGGTTAATTTAAAACTGTTAATCCCTCCTTCCTCGTTCCAGGAAATTAAAACCAGTTGAAGTGCTCCAACTGTAACCCTGGTTAACATCAGGTAACTTCTCACAGGTGAAAATGCACTTGCTCAATCTGCGTGACTGACTGCCACTGCCTTTAACCATGGGCATCTTACTAGATTCGGGAACTTTTTTTTTAAGCCCCTTGTGACAAGCTGCTGTTTTTAATATTTTGGTAAGACAAACAGCAGCTGCCTGATGTCAAATTAATGACATCTAAAAAAACATTATTGTTGGTTGGTTTAGGATCGGGAATTTGCTGTGAAACAGCAAATCAAGTTTGAAAGTGCCTTCAACCTCCCTCCAAGTCTAGGGCACTGGTTAAACAATACTCTATCCAAGATACAGAAATATAAATAGTTGCATTTTGTCTGAAAGTGTCTTTTTGAGGTTCTGTTTTCTCTTCACTCCACACATTCCCAAAATAATGTCAGTACATGAATACACCACGTGATCTAGTGCCATGACGTGCCAACTGAAAAGCTTGCATTTACATAGCACTTTTCATGACTTTGAGACATCCTAAAATGCTTTACAGCTAATTAATTACTTTTTAGATGCAGCCACTTTTGCCATTTGGGAAGCACTACTGACTTGCACAAGCGCAATGTGATTATGGCCAGATAATTTGTTTGTGTAATTTTCAGTGAGGGTTAAGTATTCACCAGGACACCAGGGATAAACTCCCCTGATCCCCTTCAAAATAATGCCACAGCATATTTCGCATCAATTTTAGAGCATCAGTTTAGCATCTAATCTGCAAAATTTACATGAGTAGTCACCTGTGGAGCATAGACTCCAAAGAGCAACTTGCAGCCTAAATCCAATGTGAATCAGCACCTTGAATACGAGAGTAGAGTTGCGGAGGACAGAGAATGAAATAATGCTGTGGACAGAAACTGCTACTTCAGTCATTTTGACAATTCAGTTTAATTTTGCAGGTTCCCAACCCTTCATATGCTTTATTTTTCAGATTAATTATGCAGAACTTTCTTTGCTGAAAAATGTCTTTCGTTTTATTTTAAACACAGATTGTGAGTTCCACACCCCACAACCATGACGAAGAGATCAGCAGAGATAGAAATAGAAATAGATGGTGAGGAGAAGCGGCACTGCACGGAGGAGAGGTATGCTCAGAAATGTTTCCACAGGCACCACACTCTCAATGAGTTTATTGTTCAGTGCAACTGTTTGAAATTTGTAAGAATTCCTTTTGTTCACTGATGTTGTTTTCTTTTGAGCAATAGAATGCTTTTTGTTTTCGACTGCATGGAGAGGAACTATCTGTGGCTGGACAGGGCATTTTTAGCAACAGCAAAGACAGAACCAGTACAGTTAGATGCAGGTTTGACCAAAACCTCAGAATTGTGGTTTGTTGCCCAGGGATAATTCTGCTTTGTGCACTAGCCTGTTGATTTAGAACACAGGCTGAGTGTGAAGATGAGAGACCATATTTGTGCTGTGGACTCTGGTCATAAAACCAAATTATAAATTCCCACAAACCTTTTTACTAACAGTTCTTTTAAAGCAAGTCTGATATCTTCATGTGATTAGAATCAGTTCTCATTTATGAGTGATGTATCTTCTAAGAGTTTTTTTTTTAAATCCTTTGGTACCCTGTTCAAACATTGGAGTACTTCGAATATGTTCCCTTGTGGACAGAAGATTGATGGTTGGATTGATCCAGATGTTTAAAATTGTATAAGAATTTATTGGTGCAAGGAAACTATATCCTGTCTAATAGGGCAATGTGAGCACTTTGGGCCCAATAGCTAAGAAAGGATTTGCTGGCCTTGGAGGAAGTTCACAAAAATGATCCCAGGAATGAAGGGTTTGTCATATGAGAAGCGGTTGAGGACTCTGACTCTGGACTTAATGGACTTCAGGAGGATGGAAGGGATCTGATTGAAACTTACAGAATACTGAGAGGCCTGGATAGAGTGGACATGGCGAAGATGTTTCCTGTAGTAGGAGAGACTAAGACCCAAGTGTATAGCTTCACAGTGAAAGGATGACCCTTAAGAACTGAGATTAGGAGGAATTTCTTCAACCAGAGGGTGGCGAATCATTGCCACAGAAGGCTGTTGAGGTCAAGTCATTGAGTGTCTTTAAGACAGATAGGTTTATGATTAGTAAGGGGAACCAGGGCTACAAGGAGAAAGTAGAACAGAGCTGAGGAACACATTAGCCATGATAAAATGGCAGAGTAGACACACTGGGCCAAATGGCCTTATTCTGCTCCTATATCATATGATTTAAATCAAGGACCAGGCATCGTAATCTTAACATAAGTACAAGACCACAGGGACTAATCAGAAAATATGTTTTCATAAAACTAAAAGCAGTGAAAGTCTGGAAATAAATACCCTGGAAATCATAGAATTGTGATGGTGCAGAAGGAGGCCATTCTGCCCATCATAATTGCCAAGGCTGTCTAAGCATTTTTACGTGGTGCCAATCTCCTGTTTCTTCCCTGTAACCCTACATGTTGTTTCTATTTAAATCATCACCAAATGCCCCTTGAATGTTTCAACTGAACCTAGCTCCACCACACTTCAGGTGTTGCATTCCATACCCTAACTGCTCACTATGTGAAAAAGTATTTACTTACGCCTCACATTTGCTTCTTTTGCAAAAGACTTTGAAACTGTGCCTTATGATTCTTGATCCATTTCCGATTGCAGATAGTTTCTCCCTATCCACTCTGTCCAGATCCTCATGATTTTGAAAACTTCTATCAAATCCTCTTTTAGCCTTCTCCAAAGAAAACAGTCCCAATGTTTTCAATCATTCCTCCCGACTGAAATGTCTCACCACTGGAACCATTCTCGTAAACCTCCTCTTCACTCTTTCCAGTGCATTACACCCTTCCAATATAATGTGCTCAGAACTGCACACAGTAATGCACCTGAGGTCTAACCTTTGTCTTGTATATGATTATCATAATCTCCTTGCACTTGTACTGTGTGTCCCAGTAAATGAAACCTAGAATAGTGTAGGCTGTATTAACAGCTCTCTCTACCTGTCCTAACACTGTTAATGATTTGTGTACATGAACGCCCAGGTCTACTTACTCCTGCGTACCCCTTGGATCAGTACCCTTTGTTTTATACTTGTCCAGTATGTTCTTTGTTCCAAAGTGCAACTCTAAAGTGTTGGTCTCCTTGTGAAGGTCTACACTGCCCTCCTCATAGTTTACAATTCTCTAAGTCTGTCGTCCTCAGACTTTGAAATTATCTTCCACGCATAAAGATTTAGATCAATATTATCTAATCAGCCTGCACAGAGGCGTTATTGTACACCTCTAGAGCAGGTGGGATTTGAACCCATGCCTCCTGGCTCAGAGGTATGGACATTACCACCACAGCCTTCACTCTTATATCAGAAAAGACAAAGGTTCAAATACCAGCTCCAGGGAACTCCACTGCAAACTTTCCTCCAGCCTAGAAAAGAGCCCATTAACCATTAATCTCTGTTTCCTGTCCTTAAGTCAATTTTTTGTCCACTTCGCTGCTGTCTCTTTTATTCCATAACATGTAATTTTCTTCTGAAATCTGTTGTGTGGCAATGCATTGCAGACATTTTAGAAGTCCAGGTACACCTCATAAGCAGCTTTGCTGTCATCAGCCCTCACTGTTACAGCCTCAGTAATCTCCTGCAAGTTAGTTAGACAGAATTTTCCCTTGTTAAATCCATGCTGACTCTTGAATAAATCCACATTCCTCCATATGATTATTAATTGTTGACAAATAATTGTTTCTTGAAATTTTCCCACCACTGAAGGTAAACTGATCTGTGATTGTTGGGCCTATAGAATCATAGAATTTTGCAATACAGAAGGAAGCCTTTCAACCCATCATGTCTGTTCTGGCTCCTGAAAGAACCACCCAGCTAATCCCATTCTCCAGCCCTATCTCCGCAGCCCTCTAAATTCATCATTTTCAAATATATATCCAATGGAATCCACCTCCACCACTCTCCCAGGCAGCATATTCTATTCTTTCTTTACACATTTTTGAAAAGGGTATAATGTTAGCAATTTTCCAAACCTCCACCACCACACCCGAATGAGCAAAGATTGAAAGATTCTTACCAGTGAGTCTGCAATTTCCAATCTCATTTCTTTCAAAATCCTTGCAGTGTCTCATCTAGTCTTGGCTCTTTTTCAGCTTTTAAGCACCAGTGGCTTATCCAATGCTACTTCCTTAACAATTTAAAACCCTTCTCGTGACTGCATTTCCTCCCTTGTACCATAGTCTGGACTGCATCTGTCTAACTGGTAAATACAGATATGCACAGTATTAATTTAACATCTCAGCCATGCCTCATCTCCATTAGTAAATCCAATTTTGCTCCCTGATCAACCTAGTCCACCTTTTGCTACCCTTTTCCTATTGATGTGCTTATAACAGAATTGACATTTCCCTTTATTTTAGCTGTTAGTCTTTTCTCATTTCTTCTCTTAACTGGTTTATCACCTACTTTCTGAACTTCCTATATTCACCTTGGTTCTCAATTATTGCCTGACACCTGTTGTAAGCACCCTTTTTCTTCTTTAACTTAATTTCTATCTCATTTGTCATCCAGTGAGCTCTAGATATGTTTGTCCTACCTTTCCCTTCTGAGGAATGTTCCTTGACTGTGCCTGAATTATCTCATCACTGAAGGTAGCTCAGAGATAGTAGGAACTGCTGATGCTAGAATCTGAGATAACAAGGTGTAGAGCTGGATGAACGGAGCAGGCCAGGCAGCATCAGAGGAGCAGGAAGGCTGACGTTTCGGGTCTGGACCCTTCTTCAGAAATTCTTCAGATTCTTCAGATTTCTGAAGAAGGGTCCAGACCCGAAACGTCAGCTTTCCTGCTCCTCTGATACTGCCTGGCCTGCTGTGTTCATCCAGCTCTACACCTTGTTACTGAAGGTAGCTCATTGTTTTTCCCACCAATGTTTGGTTTCATTCTACTCTGCTTTGAGCCATGTCATTTTTTACCATCATCCAAAACCTTTATGATATAATTGATCACTGCTCCCTAACTCTTCCTCCACCTTCACTTAATGTAGTTGGCCCATCTCATTCTGAAGAACCAGGCCTAGTAATGCCTCCTTTCTTGTTTGACCAGACACATACTTCTGTAGGAAATTCTCTTGTTCACAGTCTAGGAACAGTTGTCCCTCGCGTTACTACTATCTTAGTTGATGTATGAATATTTAAAATTCCCATTATAACTACTCTACAATGTTCATACCTGTCTGTAATTTCTTTATTCCTTAATATCCTTGCTGTAAATGTTGGAGGGGGTGGGGAGGATGCAGTGGAGCATACGTTTTTGTTAGCTAAGGGGCATAGAGCCATAGTACATAAATGGAATTAAGATGTCGATTGATCACAATTTGCTTGAATGGTGGAGCAGGCCCGGCACTCAAAAACAACCTGTCGTGAACGGGAGGTGAGGACCAAGATGAGTTGTTGAGACCAGATATCTGATTTATTCTTCTATTACAGGAGCCTGCACAAACTCAAAACCATAATCTCAGCTGCTCACTTTATAGAACAATTCTATTTATGGGCTGCAATAAGCTTTTCTTTCTTGTTTTGAAACTTCTCATCCTTCTTTTTGCTCTCAGCATTGCAGAGCAGACAACCATCACCACAGCTGAGTTTGTGAGCCAATCCATTGACATCAACGAGCCCATTGGAAACCTCAAGAAGCTGTTAGAGCCACGTCTTCAGTGTTCCTTGGAGGCACACGAGATTTGTCTGCAAGATATTCTGGTAAAGAATAAGATTTTTAAAAACCCTTTATTTGGAGCGTCAAAATATTTTGGAGTGTTGCACTCTGTGACTTTGGAAGAAAATGGCTGTCCAATTTCCTACATTGATGACCACCTAATCATGTTGTAGCATTGTTTGTGCTTGGTGTTCTTCAGCAGGGGCCAATCGACTGGATCTATTCCTAGTGCTTTCCTGTTGTTTTGCTTCAAGGAACTATGGATAGAGACTGAAAATCACTTGTTCATCTCCTTTGCCAATGCCATCACATAACCCAGGGAGACTAGAAGCTATATTTCTTGTTTCCTTCTGCAGCTTCCGAAGTTCATCATAATTTGCCTTTTTGATTGGGTTTTGTTACAAACATACAAATTAGGAGCAGGAGTAGGCCATCCAACCTCTTTATTTCCTTCCTTACCAGTTACTTCCCTTAATTTCTCTCTCATCCTATTCGTCCCACAGCATCATCTTAGCACCTCCCATGGCATGTCTTTTTAACTCCACAACAGGATCTAGGCATAGCTGCCAAGACCAGCATTTATTGTTTTTCCTTCTACAGCTGAAATACTTGCTAGGCTTCTTCAGCAAGCCTTAAAAGTCAATCTCATTCTTGTGGGCTGGAGAGACATAAAGCTCAGCTCAGATCAGATCAGATTTCCTTTGCTGATTATGAAATGTTTTTCCAAAGTGAACCACAAAGGATGATTTTCTATGGTTGCTAATGAAGCATCGTCAATGTAAAATTGTCAGGATGAGGAGAGATTGAACATAAACTACACAGCGAGCGTTACTGGGTTACAGAAACCTTTGACAAAGGATTCTGGATTAAGGGAATACTTGGACAGTGGGTCAAATCGTATCCATCAGTGCTATGAAGCTGAATGCTTCTAATTATTTTACTGAGCGTCCTGCATTAAAATTGTGCTTTGCTGGGTCAAGATAGGAGAAAAGGTAATAGCTACTTGTTTTACATTTAATATTTGGTTTAAGATGCTTAATGTCTCTCTTCCACTAAAGACTACTCAAGTGCCAATTTTTCCTTTGTGGCATGGGCAGTAGTTTAGCCTCTACTTCATTACAAGCTTCAACATTGGGGTGGGGGGTGGGGGGTAGGGGGGTTGGCGGCCTGGCAGCCTAGTGGTATTATCGCTGGACTGTTAATCTAGAGACCCAGATAGCACTCTGGGGACCTGGTTTCAAATCCCACCACAGCTGATGGTGGAATTGGAATTAAGAATCTAAAATCTGTCTGTGAATCCGTTGCCGATTGTCAGAAAAACCCATCTGGTTCACAAATGTCCTTTCGGGAAGGAAACTGCCATCCTTACCTTGTCTGGCCTACATGTGACTCCAGACCCACTCTTAACTGCCTTCTGGACAATTGGGGGTGGGCAATAATGCTGCCTAAAAGTGACGTCCTCAACCCATGAATGAATAAAGAAGAAAAAACCATCAACTTTACCTTCTGCTGTAGAATAATATCTAATGAGTTAGACTTGGAATGCCCTGTGAATCAAAGAATGTTCCTTACTTTGTCCACCTTATGTTTTAGCTGGATCCTAATCGTAGTTTGTTTGACCAAGGAGTGAAAACTGATGGCACCGTTCAGCTGAGCGTGGAAGTCATTTCCAGACAAGGTAAATTTGGTCTAAAGCTTATAACAACTCGACCTTGCATTGCATACTGTGCTCAAGGCTTAACAGCACACTTTTTTTTCCTATTCAGGAAGTATGATCTAACCAGAATGATTGCAAGGATCTTAATCAGAAATGTTTGGCGTGTTCCCAGTTTGTTTTTTTCTCTCTTTCACTTTTTTTTTATTCTCTGCCTCCTCATCACCCTCCTCCCTCCAGCTGTCAAGAGCATTACTGGACCTGCATTTGGAGCATGATTAGAATGGCAATTTAACCTGCTGATAATCCTGTGTAAGTGGGCTACTGGTACCACAGCTGGTGATATCCCAAAGTTAAACTTCTGCTTTTGCTATGATTGGTTGCCAGGAAGACCAGAGTGGTGGTGGTGGTTGTGGGGGAGGGAGAAGAAATCAACACAGAAGTAAAAGCAGATTTTGAGTCTTCCCAGACTTTTCCTTTTAGTCTTTGAAATGATTTTACAATTTCCAGCAATTAAGCCTCCCACTGCTGAGCCCAGGAGCAATGAAGCCATGGTGGAGGTCCTACAAAATCCCTGGATGAGATCAGTTAGCTTGACCTAAACCAGAAACTGAGCCTGCTGTTTCCTGTGTTGATACCGTCTTCTCTTGTTTCGAATATACAGCATTAAAATAGATTAAAAACCAAACGAACTGCGGATGCTGTAAATCGTCTGAAACAGATTATTCCATCTACTCGTCAACAGAAACCTCCTCCCATTCTTCTTCTTCTAGCCCCATAAGTGTATCTTTTATCTTATTAATTCATGGAATGTGGGTGTCATGGGTTAGGGCTAGGACACCATTTACTGCCCAACCATAATTACTCTGGAGAATGCCCAGGTCATGAGCTGCAGTCCAAGTGGTTTAGGTTCACCACAGTCCTTTGGGAAGCAAGTTCAAGGAGTTCAACCCAGAGATGATGGAGTGGCGATATATTACCAAATAGCCACTAGCTCACCACCACCACCTCAAAAGCAACTTGATTCACCTGGGATGAAAAGTTACAGTTATGAGAAGAAACTGCATAGACTGGGTTTGTTTTCCTTGGAGCAGAGGAGGCTGAAGGGGGGTCCGATTGAGGTATACCAAATTTATGAGAGGCACAGATAGCGTAGATCGTGAGAATCTTCTCCCCATTGGCAGACATGTCTTCGATCAGAGAGCATAAGTTTAAGGTGGTTTGGTAAGTGGTTCAGAGGAGATCTGAAAAAAAATTTTGTAGAGAGATAGAACGTGCTGCCAGAGAGGGTGGTGGAGGCAGGTACTCTCCCAACATTTAAGAAGTATCTGGATGAGCACATAAAATGCCAGCGTATAATAAGCTATAGTCCTAGTTCAGTTAAATGGGATTAGTGTAGCTTGGTGTTTGTTATTCACACGGTGGGCCGAAGGGCCTGTCTCTATGCTGTATGACTCTATAAATAAGGATAGGCAATAAATAATGGCCCAACCAGCAGCACTCCCATTCCATCCCAATTAAACAAAAGTCAGTTGGTGTGGATGGGAACTTACAGGTGGTGGTGTTCCCATGTGTTTGCAGCTCTGGTCCTTCTGGCTGGTAACAATTATGGGTTTGGAAGGTGCTGTTGGAAAAGCCTTAGTGAATTGCTGCAGTGCATTTTGTAAACACTGCTGTGTCTGTGCAACGGTCAAGGGAGTGAATATGTGTGATGGTAGATGGGTGCCAGTTGAGTTGGCTGCTTTGTCCTGAATGATATCAAGACTGTTGAGTATTGTTGGAGCTGGAACCATCCAGGCAATGGAGATTATTCCATCACACTCCTGATCTGTGCTTTGTGAATGGTAGACAGGCTGAGGGGAATCGGGAGCAGAATTCTGAGCCTCTGAGCTACTCTTATAGCCATAGTATTTATATAGCTTCTTCCAGTTCAGTTTTAGGTCAGCATTAGCCATTACATTGTTGATGCAGAGGGATTCAGTGATTGAAACGCCATTGAATTGTCGAGGGGCAGTGATTATATTCTCTTATTGGCAGCGGTCTTTGCGAGAGATTGTTAACTGCCATTAATTTGCCCAAGTCTGTATATTATCCAAATCTTACTGCAAATGGACATAGATTGCCTCAGTATCCGAGAAGCCACAGATGGTGCTGATCATTATGCAATCATCTGACCTTATGACAGAGGGAACGTTGTTGAAGAAGCTGAAGATGGTAAAGGTAAAGTCATCATAGTCCTACCAGACCATAGGGCTGCTCTCTCATTAGGGAGAGACGACCAGTGATGTATGTTTTTATTGACACATGGGATGTGGACATCACTGGCTGGCTAACACTTATTTCCCAAACCTGAGGGTCACCAAGCCTCATGAGAGGGGCGAGACTGAGAAAGCAGGACCTTCATGGTAACCTCAGCCAGTGTGGGAATTGATCCCAGGCTGTTGGCATTGCTCTGGATCGCCAACCAGCCCTAACTGAAGTTGACGGAGCTTGGGACACTACCCTGACAAACTCCTGCAGAGATGTCCTGGAGCTAGATGATGATCTTCAACAACCACTATTACTGCAACCACCAGGAGAGTTTTCCTGATTCCAGTTGATTCCAGTTTTACTCGGGCTCCTTGATGCCACACTTCGTCAGATGTTGTCTTGATGAAAAAGGGCAGTCATCCATGTCTTCCACCTGGAGTTTGTCCATTGTTTGGACCAAGGCTATAATGAGGTTCGGGGCTGAATGGACCTCGCAGAACCCAAACTGAGCACAGTGAACAAGTTGAGAACGCAGTATGGAGCTGGAAGAACACAACAGGCCAACCCGAAACATCAACTTTCCTGCTCCTCTGATGCTGCCTGGCGTGCTGTGTTCTTCCAGCTCCATGCTGTGTTATCTCTGACTCTAGCATCTGCAGTTCTTGCTTTCTCACGGTGAACAAGTTATTGTTGATTCGGCAATGCATAACATTGTCGCCGACACATTCCATCATTTGTGGATGATGGAGAGTAGACCGATTGGTCAGGTTAGATGTGTCATACTTTTAATGATGATTGCACATTTTCCACATTGTCTGTAGATGCCTGTGTTGGAGCTGTACTAGTTCTGAAACAGAAGTCTTCAATACTATTGCCAGAATGTAGTTGGTGCTCATAGATTTTGCAGTATCTGATAACTTCAGCCATTTCTTGATATCACGTGGAAAGAATCGTAGCTGGCTGAAGGCTGGCGTCTGTGATACTGGGGTCCTGCAGAAATAGTCTCAGATGGATCTCTGACTCTGCACTTCTGGATGAAGATCTTACAAATGCTAGCCTCGTCTTTTGCACTGATGTGCTCCTCCATCATTGAGGATGAGGATATTTGTAGAGCTACCTCCTCTGTTTTTTCCATCTATTTGTCTAAAACAATTCACAACTGAAGGTGGCAGGACTGGTTATGGGATCATTTAGCCTGTCTGTCACATGCTGCTATGTTGCTTGGCATGCCCAATATTCCTGTGTTGTACCTTCGCCAGGGTGACAGCATACTTTTGTTTAAGGTATGCCTGGTAGTGCTGCTTCTGCTTATGGCCCAAAGGTCCTCATGGGTACTTAATCTTAAGTTGCTAGATCTGTTCAAAATCTATCTCCTTTAGCATGGTAGAAGTGCCACATGGCATAATGGAGGCTATCCTTGATCTGAAGGTAGGACTTTGTCTCCATTAGGTCTGTACAATAATCACCCTACTGATACTGCCATGAGCAGCCACATCTACTCCCAAGTAGATTCATGCAGATGAGGTCAGCTACATTTGATCCCTTGTGGTTGCCTCACCACCTGCTACAGGTCTAGTTCAACAGCTATGACATCAGTCCATTGTACGCTACTGCTACCAAGCTACTCTTGGTAACTTGAAATCCTCCCACCAAGAGTATATTCTGTACCCTTGCCTCCATCAATGCAACTTCATTTAACATTGAGGAGAACTGATTCAACCGAGGGGTTTGGTGGTAATCAGCAGAAGGTTTTCTCACCCATGTGTGATCGGATGGCAGTAATACTTCATGGGATCCACAATCATGTGGAGGACTCCCAGAGCAACTCCCTTCTGATTTGTATAATGCTGTGCCATCATCTGCGATGGATCAGTCCAGTTGGTGGGACAGGACATTGCCAGGATTGGTGATGATGGTGTTTGAAACACCCAACATATACAATCTGTCTGGAGTTCCATATGTGTTTAATCCATCTCTCTAGAAATAAAGCTCAGTCCTTATTATCTCTTTAGCCTTGTGAACTTATTTTTTGTGATTTGTCTGTTTACACTCCTTTACTCCTCTTCTCCATTAAATTTCTTATTGTGAAGAGTTCTTACTCATCCTCCTACCTGACCTTTATTTACACTGAAGTTAATCTGCCAGATACATGCAAATTTATTAAGTCCCCTTGTAGTTTGTTTGTTTATCCCTTGTTGAAGGGTAGGATAGTTGTCTTGAATGATTGTCGTTGTTTAAGGATTGTTATATTTAGCAGGAGTGGAGCCGAAGCTGAACATCCTGGAAATTGTTAAGCCGGTTGAAACAGTTGAGGTTGTAATCGATCCTGATGCAGCACACCACGCAGGTGCCGAGGCCCAGCTTGTGGAGGAAGCACAAGTGATCACGTTGGATGGCTCAAAACAACTGACAGCTATACCAGACGAGACATCTGAGCAAGTGACACGATGGGCTGCAGCCCTCGAGGGTTATCGGAAAGAGCAGGAGCATCTTGGAATACCATACGGTAGGAAATTGACATTACATAGAATTTCATATAAGCAGCATTTCAGCGCAGAAATGGGACACTCGGTCCATCTGGTTTATTCAGTGACTATGTTTCACATCAACCACCTTCCTTCATCTCTACCTGTTAACCTGTTTTTCTGTTTCTTTATCAACAGTTACTTAGATTCTCAGGAAATGCATGAATGCTCTTTCCTTTTCCTCCACTACTCCATGTTGTAGCAAACTCTTGTGATGGAGAAGTTGGGCTGTGTTTTTGTATTTTTTTTTTGTAAGGCTTTGATTGCCAGTTTCACCACTAGGTGGAGCAGAGCAGCCCACAAAAGGTAAGAGTTGCATCTGACTGACAAAAACAACCATGTCTTTTGCTCAAAAATTTATTCCAAGAGGAGGCAAATAACCAGATCACTGCAGTTCCTTGCGGTAAGTTTTAAACTAGCTGAAATATGCAGAAAATCACAGCAACAATTGTGATTATTTGTAAACTTATTGCAAATTGGGGCTTCTAGTGACTGTTAAGTGGCCTCTGGTTACAAGTCTGCCAAGTTGCAAAGAAATTTACGTACAGTTTCGGCCCCACTGAACTTGATCCTTCCTATTTGGACTATTTCTTCACCTCTCTCCCAACCTTTATTTGGTCTGTCCCCACCTACATTTGCAAGTTCTGAAGGAAAGTCACATCACACTTGAAACATTAACTCTGTCTCTCTCTTCGTGGATGATGCCAGACCCACTGAGTTTTCGAGCAACTTCTGTGTTTGTTTGTCCTTAGAACTTCTTACCGAGCTATGACATACATATAATTGCCAGAAAGCTTGCAGCAATTCAAGAAGGTAACTCACCACCTCTGTCTCCAGGACAATCTGGAATGAATAACAAATTTCTTGCCAGTGATGCCAACATCCCAAAAATAAAATAAAAAAGTATAAAGTATAATGTCAACATCATGCCCATTGTGAGAAGTGAAGTAACTTTTCTAGTATACCAATTTGGCATTTTTTTCCTTAATGTCAAATTTACAGGGACTTTCTGAATGAGATTAGCAATTTGAATGTAGTTTCATGCTGTGATCCAGGCTTAAATCTGTCTGAACACGTATAAATCAGGACCTTGTAACTAGCAGACACACTCTTTTATGTCTACATTGATTTGTTCTTGGTAGTTTTCACTATTTAAAAGCTTGGAGTAAATTATCAGAACAACAACAGCTTGTTTTCAAATACCATCTTTAGTTAATAAAATATTGAAAACTAACTGACTGTAAACATTTTCCAAGTGTCACCTCTTAAGAGATTTGATGTAGAGTTATTTTTAGTCATGATTAGGACATTAGTCTAGATTTCTCCACCTGTCCTCTTCTCCTCAGCCAAGGGGACGGTATGGAAATTCTTCCGACTACCCCAAGTGACAATTGATGGTCAATAGGACTAAATGAGTGCTAATTTTAATCTTTTGTGGTAACACATTGCTCTTCCACTTCCAACTGTATTGTAACATCTGAGTTGAGGTCAGCAGCTTGCTGTCTAATGGGTAATGCAGCATTAACCCATATCCTGGCACTCGAGCAGAGTCTGTTAGTGTTTAAAGGTGCTGCGCTATTTTGCTGAAGCATCACATTGAAATGCTGTTCTCTTCACACTCCATAATAGTTTTCTGAACTGCTAATGTTAAGCAGGATTGAGATGTTTCACTTGGTCTCATTGCCCCAGACGAGGACCAGAAAATGTCCACTTTCCCCAAGCAAGCAACTGCCATTGAAAATGCATTTGATAGGATCGAGCTCTGCTACACAGGCTGTCATAGTGAGATAGTCAGCTGACTGTCACAGCCAAAGGCGCACATAATGGCCAATTGAACATGGTGACAAATGACGACTGACACCCAGGGAACTGTGCGCCAACAATGAGTCAACCACTTGGCAGGGGATGAAAGAGGGGGATTAAAGCCAAACCTTCAATTTAAAAAATACTTGTTTTGGTCCATTTTGCTTTTAAAAAGCCCTGTAGGAGTTTCAACAATTTATTTCCAGAGTGACTCATCAAAATCAGCTGCATCCTACAGCTCTATAACATGACCTACCTCTCGGCAAGTGTCAGCATGTCTGCCTAATCTGTAATTGTGGAAATTTACCCAACTTTGTCTCCTGTTACTGATGTACATCTTTAAATTTCAAGTTAAGACCAAGAATGACATTGGTGCAATAGTTAGAGATGACCTTACGTTAGGAGTTCGGGATCTGGAATAAGTTTTGTTGCAATTGAGATGTAATAGAGTGTAGGAGTCACTAGTAGATGTTGTCTACAGGCCCCCTGACACAATGTGGCACAAAAGTATACAAGATGAAATATTGGGTTCTTGTGACAAATGTATGGCAATAATCATGAGTGACTTGAATCTACCTATAGACTGGAAAAAGCAGATTAGCAAAAGTAGCCTTGATGCAAAGTTGCTAGACCGTGTTCCGGAATTCCTTAGAGCAGTACCTTTTGGTACCGCCCAGAGAGCACCATTGTTCAACATTATATTGTGAAATGTGACAGGGTTATTTAATGACCTCCGAGTTAAGGCATCCCTAGGCAGCAGTGACCACAATACCGTTGAGTTTTGCATCCAGTTTGAAAGGGAGATTTCATCTAAGGCTACTGTTTTAAACTTAAGTGAGAGTAACTATACAGGCATGCAAGCTGAACCATCTGAAGTGAACTGGCATAGTAAGCTAGGGGATAGATCAATAACAAAACGGTGGTGCATATTTTGTTTCAGCGGGAAGGATGTAAATTCATTGGAGATGGTTCATAGGATGTTAATTAGATTGATACTTGAATCAGTGTATCGTCTTACAAGAGTAAGCTGGGCAGGTTGGGTTTGTTTTGACTTGAGTACAGAGGATTGAGGGGTAACTTGATTGAAGTGCATAAGATCCTGAATGGCCTTAACAAGGTTGGAAAGGATGTTTCCGTTGTTGGGAGTCCAGAGCTAAGAGGCTTAGTTTTAAAATTAATGGTGTCCCTTTCAGGACAGAGAATTTTTTTACTCTCCTGAGTGTTGTGCGACTTTGGAACTTCCTGCTTCACAAAGTGGTAGAGGTAGAGAGGTAGGAGAATCAGTGAATATTTTTAAGGCAGAGGTGGCTTGATTCTTGGCAAACAGAGAATCGTGGTTTATCAGGGGTAGATAGCAATGTGGAATTCGAAATCGAAACAGATCAGCCATGATCTCAGCGTAGTTGGATAGGCTCAAGGGACCAAACGGTTCTTATTTCGTACGGCCATATATATACGCTCATATGTTTGAAAGACGAGGCAAATCAAGCAAAGGTGTACAGGTCAGGGTGTCACGTTCGCAACCTAGTTTTGTCCTGTCTTGCTTTTGAATCAGAGGTTCATTGCAGATACTGCATTGGTTAGCTCAGAGATCAAAAAGTTGAAAATGGTGTTTGATTACCTTCCTAATAACGTTAACTTCTTGGTATGCGAACATCCCTGGCAAGACCAGCATTTATTGTCCATCACTAAATACCCTAGAAAGTATGGTAATGAGCCACCTTTTTGAACTGCTGCAATTCATGTGCTGTGGAGAGTTTAAAGGTGGAGGGCATTTAATATGATAGAAAACCTACCATCTTCCCACCTCTGCCCCAAATAAGTCCAGGGCAAAAATACATGTCAATGGCCTTCCTTCAATCAGTTGAGGCCCTTAATTTTTGACCTACAGGTCTCAACTTAATACTGGTATTCAGTGAGTAGCAGGCTGGGCTCTTGCCACAAACCTGGATAATAAACTCTTGTTAAATTTTCTTGAGTTCTTGGGAAGGAGAGCAGCCTCAGTTGAAGACCCTTGGTGTCTGATGGTGGGACCCAACAGGATCACATCCCTGAGAGTGACATCCCTATTCTTCCTCCTGACAACCCCTGTCCCTCCAACTCCCATCCACTCTCACTCACCTTTGTCCCGTGTTCCTTCACCCAATTCTGACCGGCAACTCTGACTGCTCATCCAGTAGCTGTCAGGGCAGCGTGGGGAGGGTGGGATTTCCTCCCCTGCATCTGATCCTTGCAACTCTCAAAAGACAGCAGATGAGATTGCTATCGCATGGATTAAATTCTCCTCCAGCATGTTGCAAGGGAAGGCTTAATATATCACAAGTCATCCTGTGTCTCAAGGGACAGCCAAAGAAGAATATGTACTTCTATATAATTTAGGAGCAGGAGATGACTTCAGTGGGAAGGAAATTCTTCGTGCATTTATCTCCAATTTTAAACAAAGACCACTACTGTCACACTGACTATCGTGTGGAATATATCTGGTGTCACTGCTCTGGGCTTCCTTTCGGTTTTATCTAAAACATTCTGACTGTTTGCAGGGCAGGCTTTGCTCCTTGTGTTTACTGAAATCAGATGTTATTATTTAGTGGATTTAAGGATAACATCTCTTCTTCTTCATGTTTATGGAGCTTCAACTGAAACATTTATCTTGCCTTTCCCTTCTTTGGTGAAGTTTTCAATGAATTCACTTGCAGCATTTCCAAACTTCATGCCTGTATTGACTATTCTATGAACTATGTTACGATTGCTGATTACAAAATGATTCTTCAAAAGCTGTACATTCAGATGCATTTCATCTGGTTGTTGTCTGTATTTTTATGCTTTAGATCCAATTCAGTGGTCAGCAGACCAAGTGTTGCATTGGGCCGTCTGGGTGATGAAGGAGTTTACCATGATTGAAGTGGACATCAAAGATCTGAACGTTCTGGGGAAAGACCTGTGTGCCCTGAGCCAGGAGGAATTTCTGCAGAGAGTACCAAAGGGAGAAATTCTTTGGAGCCATTTGGAATTGCTGAGAAAGTGTGAGTAAATCTTAGTGTAATGTGTGTTCTTGCCAGCTGACTGAAGATTAAAAATTTTGCTCAGAGTTTGCTTTCACAGAAAGTCAAATTGTTTCACCTGTAATCAAACTGACACAGGCCCTAAATTAACGGTTTCTATCCTGCTTTTAGCCAGGAACATTGTTACCCATCAAAAGACCAGAAGTGGACTGTTTGCTGATGGTTGCACAGTGTTCACTCACCATTTGCAATTTCTCAGACACTAAAGCAGGTCATCTTCAAATGCAGCATGACCTGAACAATAATTGGGCTTAGGCTAATTAGTGGCAGTTAATGTTTCTGCCACACAAGTGCCAGGCAGTAACTGTCTCCAACAGTGAAAATCTAACCATTATTACTTGACGTACAATGGCATTACCATTTGCTGAATCTCTCATTATCAACTTGCAGAAACTGAACTAGGCCAGCAATGTAAGTACTCTAACTGCAAGAACAAGTTAGAAGCTGAGAATTCTGCAATGAATAATTCACCTCCTGATTCCCAATGCCCATTATTCATCTATAATACACATGTCAAGAGTGTGATGGAGTATCGAATACACTCCACTTGCCTGGATGGTCGCAGCTCGACACCAACTGCATTATAGCAGCTGCTTGATTGACACCCTACATCAATATTCACTAATGCATAGTGGCAGCACTGCAGTAACTTGCCAAGACTCCTCGGACAGCACCTTCCAAAAGGCATCTAGAAGAACAAGGTCAGCAGATACATGGGAACACCATCAACTGCAATTTGCCCTGCGAGGCACAGACCATTCTGACTTGGAACCATGCTGCCATTCCTTCACTGTCACTGGGTTAAAATCCTGAAACTGCCTAACAGCAGTATCGGTGTACCTGGGTAGACTGTAAATCGCCACCACCTTCTGGAGGGCATTTGGAGATTGGCAATGAATATTGGCCTAGTCAGTGACATCCACATGTCACAAGTGAATGAAAACAAACCGTACATTTGGTCTCCAGTGTCTTTCCGTTAAATTCAACATCTTGTTTCTTTCTATTTTTGTCCCATTTATCTTTTCCTCGCTGTCTTTTTGACCTATTTCATATTTAGCTTTTTATAATCAGATTTATCTGATTCCTTGTGTTAGTGGTAAGAGCAAAGGTCATGATGTTAACAGGCTGTTTAAATTTAGATGATGCAATGGAGCCTGACCCTGTCCCAGCTCAATAGCCATGCACCCTTCATAGAATCATACAGAACAGAAGACGCCTTTTGGCCCATTGAGTCTGTGCTGCCAAAAATGCTGCAATCTGCGCTATTCCCACTTTTTTAAACTTGACTCATAGCCTTGAATAGCGCATGCATGTGCACTCCCAGCAGAATCCCAACAATATTTTATGAACTTGCAATTCTGTGTGGACAGCACAACAGCTAACAATACTATGCCCAAGTTTTGAATTCATCTATTCATGGATGTCTGTATAGCAAGCTCAACATTCATTATCCATCTCTAATTCCCTTTGAGAAGGTGGTGGTGAGCCGACATCTGGACCATTGCAGTCAGTGTGATGAGGTTACTCTCACACTCCTAATTAGGTACTTTCATTGTTATTGGATCAAAATCCTAAAAAAGCAATCGCATTTATCACAGTCAGATGCTGTGACATGGAAATGAATTTGAAAACAATGGTGTTCTGACATACTGTGTAAATGGTAGCAGTCATGGATTTGGGAGTTGTTGTCAAATGGCGGGGGGCGGGGGGCGGGGGGGAGCGCGGCGCGTTGCGGGGGGGCGGTGTGTGTGTGTGTGTGTGTGTGTGTGTGTGTGTGTGTGTCTTGCTTTGACTCTGGTCGGTTCTTCAACTTGGACTCCCTGAACCTGACAGTGTTGAGCCTTGCCTTTTCTAGCATCTCATTCACCCCTGCTGAACACCTTAACTCAGACCTGCTATGAAGGTAATACATTCACTGGTTATGTAACATCTTGTATCTTTAGCAGAATTGCATTTTGAATTTGGGCATATAGTGATGTAGATGTTCCTCCAGAACAGGATTAAAATTCTTTGGTACTTTGAATTAATGAAGTCTGTTTCTGCATTACAGATGTGTTAGCAAGCCAAGAACAAACGGGTGAAATTGCAACTGTTACCATTGACCAACGTGAGTATTTGACTCAATACATCTTTCTGCATTAAGGGGGGAAGATATGTTGTGTGTCTGTTATTTGTCTAAAATATTAACATTTACCCTCCCCTTGCTGATTCTGTTATTGTAGTAGAATTTCAAGATGTTTTGGGAACTTACTTTTGTATTTTTATATTTGACCCCGTGTATGTACAGCGATGGAGATTGTGTTACTTGAGGTTGTGGAATTTTTGGTGATATGGGGATCATGTTCAGTTATTCCTTACAGTTTGCCATGCAGATCAGAAATCTAGGCTTTAATTATCGTTCAAACAATCTGTTTGCATACGACTGCAGTGTGGTACGTTTGGGAATGGTTACGATGTTGTGCGCAGCAATCCCATGAAATGGTTACTTGTATCTACTGAATGTAAGTTAAGATTGATGCACATTCCTCGGATTCAACACCAGAAGGAGACATTTTCACACTGTCAGACTGGGTCGGATTCAAACTGTCATCGCTGATGTATTCTATTGTGTATTGTTCTTGCAATCATTTGGTTGTTTGAAAATGACATGAGCTCCACTGTGGGATGCTTCCAAGTGAACCTTTCAGAATGAGTAATTGACACTTGAGAAGTAGTGTTGTTTTTCTTTTGATAAATTTCAGCATAGTCTTGTATTTGCTTTCTAAAATGACTAAATTAATGTTTTGGCATCAGGCCGAAAATATCAGGTGGTTGTTATTAATTCCAGTGGCCTCAGAGTATTTACGCTTGTGATGAAGAACAAAAGTTCAGCCTGTCAAATTCAGATCGTCGCCGAGAATTCACTTGGGGAATGCTAAATACACTTCTTCACCCAGTGTGTAGGGACATTGTGTAATTTAAGACAGGGAGTTGAGGTGAATAATAAATGTATTTTAAGAGGAAACATGTAAGCAAATAAAAAGTGAGAGAAGGGAATAGAACCTTATCCTGGTAGTAAAACAAATTAACGGGGAGGCAATACCCTAGTGGTACTATCGCTGGACTGTTAATCTAGAGACCAAGGTAACGTTCTGGGTTCGAATCCTGCGACGTCAGGAATTTGAATTCAATAAATATCTGGAATTAAGATTCTAGTGATAACCATCTGTTGCCAATTGTCGGAAAAACCCATCTGATTCACTAATGTGCTTTAGGGAAGGAAACTGCCATCCTTACCCGGTCTGGCTCCATGTGACTCCAGACCCACAGCAATGTATTGACTCTAAACTGCCCGATGGGCAGTAATGCTGCCTAAAAGCGATGTCCTCATCCCATGAATGAATAAAGGGAAAAAAATGAGAGAAGGGAATCGAACCTTTTCGTAGTAGTGAAATAAAAAAGGATGCGAGAAGGCTTAAGTGGAGCCAAAACACCAACATGGATCAGTTGCTGCATCGCCTGTAAAGTGGTTATGTTGACTATAATGGGTTTGTAATCTAGAGCTCTGGATTGATCTAGAGAAGGGAGTTCAGATCTTGCCACTGGTTAGAGAGTCTAGAACCACTTAGGTCTGATACAAGGAGAAATTATTTTTAATATCAAACAGGTCTACAGCACAGAAAAAAGCCCTTCATCCCACTGAGCCTTTGATCAAAAACAAGACCTAATTATTCTAATCCCATTTTCCAGCAATTGGCCTTGTGCGCCTTGGCATTGCAAGTGCACATCTAAATGCTTCTTTCAATGTTATAAAGGTTTCTGCCTCTACCATCCTTATAGGCAGTGAGTACCAGATTCCCACCTCTCTCTGGTTAAAATGGTTTTCCTCACATCCCCTCTAAACTTCCTGCCTCTTGCTTTAAACTAATGCCTCCAATCATTGATCCCTCCACCACAGGAAAAGGTCCCTTCCTGTCCTCTGTCAGCGAGAGAACTGAAAGGAGGGAAATCCTGCTAGGCTTCAGCCTTACCAATTTACCTGTCATGGGTATGTCTATCTAAGATCACATTGGTGGGAGTGATCACTGCACGGTCTTTGTAGAGACAAAGGCATACCCTCACACCTGAGGGCACTTCCCAATATGTTGTGCTACTATACTAAACAGAGCTAGCAACTCATTTGGGAACCCTTGAGGTGCTGTAGGCCATCAGCAGCAGAGCTGCATTCAACCAACCTTAGTTCAATGAGCAGTATAAAAGAACATGGCAGACCTTGAAAATGAGGTGCCGCCCTGGTACAGCTGCAGCACAATTGCACTCTCTCAAACTAGAAATTAGCATGCAATAGACAACACTAAGCTATTCCACAGCTTTCAAGTCAGATCATTGTTCCGCAGAATTGCTACATCCAGTCATGAATGCTGTTGGATAATGAAACAACTAAAGGGACGAGGAAACTCTATGAATGCCCTCAATGCTGGAATAGCCCAGCAACATACTTCATTCAAAGTGCCAAATGTCTGGTACACTTCTCTTGAAATCCCCACCATCACCAAAGCAATCTTCAACCAACTTGATTCACTCCATACAAGCACACTGGATACAGCATATGCTGTGCACCCTAACAACATCCCTGCTGTAGTTCTGAAGACTTAGACTCCATATATAGCCATGAGTGTAGTCAAGTTGTTTCAGTACAACAATGGCAATCACATCTACCTGCCAATGAGGAAAATTGTCCAAGTATGGTCTATCCATTAAAAGCAGGACAAATCAAATTAAGACAGTTACTTTCCAGTTTACTCTCAATCCTCAGTAAGTGATGGGAGACGTGGTTAATAACAGTGCTATCAAGAGGCAGTTACACAGCAACAGCCTGCTCACTGTTGTTTGCTTTGAGTTCTGCAAGACTACTTGACACAATACCTCATTCTGCCTTGGCTCTTAAAATCGAAGTAGCATTTAACTGAATGCTATATCAAGGAGCCCAAATACAGTTGAGATCAATGGAAATTGGAGGTAGAGTGTCACTTCATTGGTTAGAATTACACCTAGTACAAAGAAAGGTGGTTGTGGATGTTGGAGGCAGATCACCTCAGATGTGGCCATCGCTGCATGTGTTCCTCAGGCCAGTGATTTAAGCCCAGGCGTCTTGGGATGCTTCATCAGTGATACTTCTTCCAATAGAAGGTCAGAGGCTGGACAGTCTGCACCACACCTCACCTCTTGACTCCTGAAGCCTGTCCAACAGCTGCTATACACTAGTCATGAGTGTGATGGAATACTCTCCTTGCCTGGTTGGATCCACTGTAACAGTCCCGACAGCTCAATACCATCCAAATCAAAGCAACTCTCCTGATCATTAGGCCACCGACCATCTTAAGCATTTGCAAATAAAAACAGAAATTGCTGGAAAAAGTCAGCAGCTCTGGCAGTGTATGTGGAGAGAAAGCAGAGTTAACGTTTCGGATACAAGTGACTGAACAGTCCAACTCTGAAAAAGGGATACTGGACCTGAAATGTTAACCCTGCTTTCTCTCCATACGTACTGCCAGAGGTGCTGAGCTTTTCCAGCAATTTCTGTTTTCATTTCTGATTTCCAGCATTGGCAGTTCCTTTTTTTAAACCTTAAGTGTTCACCGTGTCCCGCCCAGCAACATGGTGTACTATTTACAAGATGCTTTCCAGTAACCTGCAATTGGGTTCTTCAGCAACACATTCCAAACCCGTGAACCCAACGTCCAGAAAACAAGCATGTGACAACATCATCTGCAGACTTTTACCCAAATTAAGTACATTCTTGACTTGGAAATATATCATCTGTACCTTCACTTTTATCTGTACAGGAACTCTGTACTTCAACATGTCAGACTGCAATGTGCCTCACCATTATCTTTTCATGGACAATGAGAGATGGCTAATAAATGCTGATCTTACAGCAACACCCAGATTCTGTGCACGTTGAGAATATGATACTTTTATGTAATTCTATAGCGTAATTGGTGCAAATTGCACAAGTACACTTACCCAGTTTCCACCTAAATATGCAAGTGAGAAAGGTATGTTGAGGAATGAGATGAATAAGGAGCGGAGGAAATTCAGGAATAAACATGAGCACAGAGCGATTGGGCTGTGAATGGTCTGTTCATTAAATTCTATCCAGAAATACCCTGCAGCATTGCTGTTCTGAGTGCGATGCACTGTTTATAATGACAGAAGTATTTATGAAATAACATTCAATAAGTTATTCATTGAAGGTGAACCTGCGTTTAATGCATCCTGTATCTTTAAGGCCACAGTGTACTTTCTGTAAGTATAGCCTGAGGTCAGTCAGACTTTGATTGCTCTTCAGTGATGAAGGATTGGAAGGTACTTGGAAATTTCAGCTGCAGGTCCTGATAACATTTTTTTATCCTTTGAAGTGTGACAGACATTGTCGATTGTTATAAGAGTTTTTGCATTGTGCCTCTGAAAGAAGAAGAGCTGCTGGGATTTAAGTGCCACATCTGGTGTCCATGTAATGAACAAACAGTTCTGTAAATTATGGATTTCATTGTGTGCGCTGAACATTTCCAGCCACTGTGCACCATCTGCCTGATGCAGCACATTTAAACTTAAACGCTTTCTTTTCAGCTGTCCAAATAATTCCTGCAACCGTGCAGTCAACAACTCCCACCACCATAAAAGTCTTTACCGGAACACCCAAGTCTGCCAAAGTCCCACGTGCCCCAAGGATCTCTGGGGAAGACAGAAGTTCACCTGGGAATAGGACTGGTAAGGAGTTACTGGTATAGTGTATGTGTTTGTATTAGGATGATGATCCTCGAGCAATAGAGGATTACCATTGTGCTAATAGGAGCAAGGCTAATCAATTCAGCCTGTCATTATGCTTGCCATGGCTCCATTTGCACAAGTTTCCTTTTACTTTCAGGCTGAATCTTCCAGTACTCCACCTCTGGGCTTTGTGCCATTTCTCCTGCTATCACTTAGATTAACATGTTGCTAAGGTAACTCATTGCCATTTTCTATTGCATGCATTGGTCATCAAACTTTTTGATCTTTTGTTCATCCAACCCCAGTTCTTCCTCCACGTAAGTGGTGACAGAACCTTTAGTCACCTCATATCTGTATCTTGTTCATCTTTTAAAGCATTCCCAGTTCTCTGAGCAAGCTCTTGCTCATTTTTCTTGTGGCTTAGTGCCTGTCCCTTCTCTTTGTCGGTCATTCACCTCTCCGTAAAGGGCTGCCTCCTGTTGAATACCAGAGGTTGTTGCACCAGAAGAAGGGCATGTGGATTTGGGAGTGACACATTACATATAACATACTAAAGTGCCAAATTTTCCCATTGGCAGGCAGTAATTAGAGTACCACATGGCCTTGGCTTTTAACAATCTGTATTAATAGCTGAGGTGAAGAGGTTGGGCTCTTGTGGTGCAGTGGTCATGTCACTAGCTGTGGGCCAGAAGGTCTGGGTTCAAGTCTCACCTACTCCAGACGTGTGTAGTAATATCTATGAACAGGTTGATTTTTTTTAAAAATGTGGATTTGTGGTGCAATTGTCTTTTTTGCCACATTCTGTTGCTCTCTGCTCACTTACCCTCTCTGCTGTCTCTCTGTCGTGCTCACTCCCTCTCTCCCTCTCCAACCGCCCTCCCCTCCTCTCCCCACCCTCCCTCTCTCTTCCCCTCTCCTCCCTCTCTCTTCCCCTCTCCTCCCTCTCTCTTCCCCTCTCCT